AATATTATTTTGAAATCAATATTTATTTGCTATTTCAAACTTTTTTTAATGTTACTCAAATAAATTTTGAAATGTTTAACAGCCTCGATTTGAAATAGAATCAATAAAAAAATTTTCCTTTTAATCGCATCAGTACGAACAAGAAAAGATCAACGTTTCAAAGGCAAAATTTGGATTAAAAACTTTGCTATGGATTTTTATTCGGCTGGAGTAAAAACGGATTAAAATTTATTCCGTGTACGGATTGCCCCGTCCGGATGAGCAGAATGCGATTATTAACGGAAAAATAAGCTTATCAATGCGCCTGGAATAGTTGTTCTGAATAACAAATCGCATTTTTCAATGCGGTAAATCAGTCGGATGACGGAAACTCAAATGGGATCCTGATTTAAGTTCTAGTATGCTTACCATTTCTGTCGCTGATAATGAATTGTATGTGGTATAAAATGAAATTAAAAAATATGAAAAATAGTTTCAATAGAGAAAATATACATAAGAGATAACGATGGTCGTAGAGATGGAGAGCCACTTCCTGACCGCCTTCGAACGTCCTGTGGTCAAGTCGATCCTTATCAGGGATATCAACCTATAAATATTCATCTAAATTTTTGTTAAAGAATATTGATTTATATATATTTAACTGTGAACTAATCTTAACTCTATTGAACTAACAAAGCAAATCTTTATTTTGAGTTAAGCAGATAAAAAGTTTATTAAAAACAAATATTCAGAAATATAAAAAAAATCAATGGGTAGAAAAGAAGGGTGGATCATGAGAAAAATAATTAAATACTCGTCACTGTATATGCAATAATTTGTACTAGAACAATAAGGTTTCGTAACTTTTTAAACTGGACTTCAGCACATTAACATGACAGTAAAATGGTTATGTTTAACTAAATAGTTTTTAAAATAAATCAAATTTTCTATTTGTTAAAAAATTGAATTGTGTGATTTCTAGGTGTAGTATTCAGATGAAGAACCCGTTGTTTTGATTGTTGATTGTTTGTGATCATCCTGATTTGACCATTTTTGCTTGTTGGTAACACGAGCATTCTACTTTTTCGACTCTATAGAAGAAACTTGACTTCTCCCAGACATAAAGAGGTTCTCAACACTTTACAACACTGAATATGACGAAATGGCGAAACGCGTGTGACAAACTAGCACAGCAAGGATAGGCAACATCAAGACGATTGTTAACGACTAAACGAAAATTAAAGACAAAATTATATAAACTATACTTTTATATAAATTTAAAATAGATGATTTGCTGAACAATAGGCCAACGAGATTAAACATAGCTCAGGCGAGTAACACGCACTCATATAATATTTTCTGTTAGTCGTTGGTCGTAGATTTCATATATAAAACCTTCTTTGTTCAACAGTGATTATCACAGATTGTATCGGATTGAATTCTACTAAATGTGTGGTGAATAGTGACCGTTAGTCGATGATTATTCGGAGATCGTGAGATGCGGTCTGATGTGACGTAGGTTTTAGAAAAACATTTTCTTTATCGTGCCAACGTTTCGATCTTTATTGAGATCATCTTCAGTGCCTGGGATTTACAAACATTGTTTAAATTTCACAAATACGTGTAGGATGTGGAAAAAAAGTGAATTTATACAATGCAAAAAAAGATTGAATTGATTTTGTAGATTACGTCAGATTTATTTGTTTTTGGTGTGGGGATTTTTAATTTTGGGAAAAACCACCAATAACAAATAAATCTGACATAATCTACAAAATCAATTGTTTAAATTGTCCGGCAACTAACATCCCAATATCTTGATAAGAGAGTAAAACAACATATCCATGATTGCAAAAAACCCAAGCAAAATCGAACAGCAATACCATTTTGAACACAAACACAATTTCGACATGAACAATCTAAAAATATTACACACCGAACAAAACAAACATAAATGTAACTTTTTAGACATGGTTTACTTCTACAGAGATAAACACAACCTCAATTAGAGAAAAAAACATGTCAACACAGTGGCAGCTACGCCAATATCACATTCAATGTCGATAACATACATATATCATCATCACACAAAACATATAATACAATATATAAAACAATCATCATCACATTCCACACATCAACCATTTCTACATAGTCTAATTTTTCAACAATTTTATCCCTGTCTATATAATCCTGAAAGGATAATCTGGCCAAACCATTACCAACATTTTTCCCATCATCGGCTCTTTTCACCTCAAAGAAGCGACTCCTTATATGAAAATATCTTTCTACACTGACCTCCTTCCCTAACCCAACAAAATCCAACATATATAAACATAAAACACCAATATCTCACTGGAACTCTCAACTCGACACACAAGAATGACACAATTACGCAAAAAACAAACACTGAATGAGCACAAATACTTTGATTGAGTTGAAAAATTGTAGCATTGTATAAACTCCATTTTTTCCACATCCTACAAGCATTTGTAAAATTTGAACAAAGTTTATAAATCCCAGGCCCTGAAGATGATCTCAATAAAGATCGAAACGTTGGCACGATAAAGAAAATGTTTTTCTAAAACCTACGCCACGCCAGACCGCATCTCACGATTTCCGAATAATCGTCTACTAAATGCTTTGTTTTTGAGTGAATTTTCATAAATAAAAACGAACTACCCATCACGCCACTATTGGTATCAAAACCGTATCATTTCTGGAGAAATTAGCCAAGTATTTCACATTTGAAGCAATATTATACTCTCGATTATTTAAAAAGTGAAGGATTGACATATTAATTCGTAACAAGTAAATATTCAAATTCAAAGAGATCAGAAATTCTTGAGTTTTAATTATGAATTTAATCGAAAACGTAATTAAAACTATTTAATTATGATGGTTTAAAGGACAATTCACAATAAACACCGAAAAACCGTAGTGATAGGTTAAAATTTAACTATCAGTTTATTACCCAATTTTGTTGTTAATTGGGTTTATTAATTCCTTTGGCATCGTGGAGAACCGAAATTCTCCTAGACAACCAGTAAATAAGCTATCGGATTTCGCCTTGTTAACAGAAACCCGTTCTTGAGCGTTTTGAACCAGTTCAATGCCTCTTGGAGGCGATGAACGATGTCTAAACGTTTTTCATGTCTCATCAATGTTGTGTAACTTTCATGTCAAGAAAACGTACTGGCCAATACGTTGTGGTACTCTCTACGCACTCCAAATAATGCTTGGCAACTCGAGCTACATGTAGTCGAGAGTTATTACGCATTACGAATGGGATTGCAGCTTCCATTAGTGGTTTCTAAATGTATCTTAGTGCAGGAAAAGATGCATTCTGAACGATAATCAGTTCGGTGCCGGCAAGGGCGTTGATTCTATATCATAACTGACTGTCTTGGGTTGCCTACGATTAAAGCATGGCACATGAAGCAAAGCCTGGTCTTATCTACACATAGTCCAGGTCATCTAAATTGCACACACCACACCGGCAGTTATTTGAGAAGCCCTCCCCATTGAACATTGTCCAAACGAGATGATGTTTTGCGAATAGTCGCCTTCCTAATCGATGCATTTCAAATATTAGAAAACTTAGGCTATTCTCGAAAAGCTTTCTGATGACTGTTTCAGAGTGCACTCTTTCATAACGACCGTTTGATGTTGACTACCTATTAAGGAAGCCGTTAAATGACGGTTCCGTAGTGTGGTAAAAGCAATAAAACGATCGTATCTAGCAGTCGTACATAGCAGTCGACCACTACCATCTCTTCGATCGAGACTTCCGGTGGCCCTAAACCGCTGTAGTCCAATTAAAAAACCAATTAACTCACTCGACAAGTTGGCTCGGGAAAGGATGAAATTGAACTGATTTTCTTTATTTTTGATCTAAAAAGAGTAAAAGGATTAGTGTCACTATAAAGAGAAACAAGTTATTAACGTTATGTTTACGTTTTAAGTCAACTATTACTCTTTATGCTTAGTTATTATGGAAAATAAATGTAAGTGTGTTGTTAGCATATCAATAATGTCCATAATTTAATTGTAGAGAAAAAAATTATTAGTACGTTTTTTAATTAAAAAAAAATTATGAAGGCAATAGAATTGGCAATGTTTTACTACAAAAAATAAAAATAAAAACAATAATTTTCGTGGTCCGCTTGACTAATTAATATCATTCAATTAATTAAGGTTTTTAGTTGAGATAAAAAAGTGTGTATTTTAGGTATCTCAGTAATTACATAAAATCAGAAAAAATAAAAATAATTGTTATAAATAAATCCATTACATTTCGTGGTCCGATTGACAAAATGACTTCTTTCAATTAATTATGTAAGTTATTGGTTGAAATGAAAAAGTTAGTGTAACGAGCGGGATTCGAACCCACGACCTTCTGTTACATACGCTGCTACTTTACCACTTGAGCTATCGTGACTTCGATCCACTCGGACACTAACTTCCGATCTCAACCCCACCTTTTCAATTTTCCCTCTTTTTTGCCATCTTTCAAATGTCATATAATCTATTTGATTCTCGGCTCTCCTTAACATTTTATATGGTTGTTTATATTGTTGACATTTGTTTCTGTTAGAACTTTCTGCATATCTTTCTTCGCCCTTTTCTAACTGCTAAATTTTTCAAATTTCCATCAACTTCACACACCCTCTTCTGTTTTTGGTATTTTCGAAAACTGGTACTGCGAACCGTAAATATTTCTAAATTTATATATGGTTATAACATTCATATTTTTATTGAATAGAGGTGTATTTAGAAAACCATTAAATAAATAAACATGAAATGATATTGGATGAGAATGACTATTCCAAGTGCAATTTGTTATTATTCAACACATACAACATGTTGAGAAATGAAAACAATTTTTTTTTATTATATGTACTCGAAAAACATGAAACAAGAGGATACACTTGAATGTTGTTATCTTTTAGGGTTAGATTTTCCTTAATTTTAATTAATCGTAATCTCTCTTCTGGAAGCTAATTCCATTGTTTTTGTTTTAGGGAATGATGCTATCAACACGGAGTCGTACAAATCTGCCCGGCTCCAGTCAACTGTACATACTTCCATCTCCAGGACTCAAATCCAGTGTGCGTTCACGTGGGAACGAATGATTGTGCCGTGTGCTTGAAGTAAGGAATCGGTGTTAGTGTTTCATAACCTATGGAGAAAAAAAAAGCTCATCGAAACAGGTGTTTCTATTTTATTTTTCAATGAACCACAAAAAGACAACTACTACTCTTTCAAACCCGTTCTTAATTATATCCAGACATGGTGATTTTGAGGACATACGAAAACCCTTCCCGAGCTCATTGTGGTCATAAAATATCTTTATCGTACAGTAGACTAATAACTAAACAAAAAATTATATATAACTTAGATGTTAAGGAAAAACTTGAAATTCATTATCACTCGTTTGAGTTTCTTACCACCAAATTATGATTGTTAAATTAGTTCTCTTTAATTAATATAGAAATATATGATTGTTGTATACATAATACGACTTTTTATTGCCCCTTCCTTCAAAATAAATAAGTTACCTATAACAAAAGTTGTTTTTTATTTCCCTACTCCCGAGGGGTTTTTTTAAAAAATAGAGATAACAAACTAATTAAAATGCTAAAAAAACCTAAAGGCAAAAAAAAATTGTTTGAACTTGTTTTGTTACATCACCGAAGTATTTTAAAGATAAACGAACACCAACAAACTTAATTATGTTTTTAAGAAAATAATTGCATCCTAAAAGAAAATAATCGGAAATAATAATACACGAGATATAAAAATTTTCTTTTGATCGTAAAAATAATGAGAACATTTCTGAAGAAAATTGATCAAGTCAAAGGACAGGCAAGTAATTACTTCGTTTTATTTAAGAGTGTTATTTTCAATGTTAAACCTTTTCGGGAAAACTGTTTTCCAAAGATTTTCCTAAAACTAAAGACAGAAAATCATAAATACCCAATTCATTTTTTTATTAATAATATCAAAAGGCAAGGTAATAATAGACAATAAGACAAGTAAATTCTTAATGTATAATGAATTTATATACATATATAAATGTATTATATATGTTCCGTCCAATGATCATAAAGGTTACAGCGGTATACAAGTCATACATAGCTAGTAAATTTCAATCATAGCAAATATGATTGAAATTTACATTTAAACGGCTCAAGCTTCAAACAAAAGTAATATTCAATGCACAAATTATTTACTATACATAAATTTGTAAAATACTAAAAAAAAGATTAAAAAGAAGAAATCACATCAAATATATATAAAAGGAAATTATTCCAAAAAAGGAATAATTATAGTTAAGGGAACAAAGTATAGTAGAACAATACAAACTTAGAACTGTATATTTATAGAAAATCAAGCATGTATTTCAGAAAAATTAACTCCTCATTAAAAAAGCACAGTTGGTTGGTGCCTGACAAGGTCTGTATTGTTCATAACTCGAATGGCACTGCGTTGCCCGGCAGATATAAATGAAATGGCTACAGCAAAATCTGACAAAATGATAATATAAAAACTGGTGACAGCTCTTGCACATAAAATTAACAACAGGAGATGTTTTGAAGAATGAAAACCTTAAAACTAATAAAAAGGCCTTATTACGGTACAATGATGAATCCAAAATAGATGAGATGCTGATGGGGGATTTTAGTCCCACGTTTTGTCCTAGGGAACTTCTACGATCGGCACCATCTATTTACCTTTCTTTAGTAAAAGCTCTATAACCTGGTGTTACCCAGGGAGGTAATAAAAAGTGTAATTTATTACAATATTTGCAGTACACACACTGCTATTGCTAGATTGGAGCATGTATGTAAATTATATGAACACAATTGAATGTTTGATATCAATTAATGTATTTAGTCATCATATTTGATATTTACTTATACAATATTATTTTTGTTCTGGATTATATTGCATTAAATTGTAATTACTGTTGTATTCAGCTTTGAATTCATTGCAATGCTCTTGGATGTACTATGCTTTAGGTGATTCCATTTGGTGTATACAAACATCAAATCCCAAATCCTATTTATAATTGTCCATGAGAAAACCATGGATTTTCCAAATTCAATCCACATAATGATTGAATGTGATATTTGTTTATCATTACTGCAAAAGCCATTTAACAGGAAATTGCAATCATTTGACTTGGAAAGGCACTTCTGATAGTACCATTGGTACATGTTGTATTAGCACATCCTCTGCTTTAAATTTGAGTAAGAATATTAAAATCATCATTCTACGGACAATACGTTGTAGTTTTGGGGGGTATTTTAAACAACAGCAAAATGTAATTCTACAACAGAGACAAAAAGTCAAAATGTAAGATTAAACATATTTCATACTTTTTTTCTTTTTTTAGAAATCGTGAGATGCGGTCTGGTGTGATGTAGGTTTCAGAAAAACATTTTTTTTATCGTGCCAACGTTTCGATCTTTATTGAGATCATCTTCAGGGCCTGGGATTTACAAACATAATTTAAATGTAACAAATACATGTAGAATATGGAAAAAAGTTAATTTATACAAAGCAAAAAAATATTTTTTATACTCAATCAAAGTATTTCTACTCACTCAAAGTGTTTGTCTTCTGTGTAATAGTGCCATTCTTGCGTGTCGTGTTGGCACTCTCGACACGACACGCAAAAATGACAGAATTACACAGAAGACAAACACTTTGAGCCCTGAAGATGATCTCAATAAAGATCGAAACGTTGGCACGATAAAGAAAATGTTTTTCTGAAACCTACATCACACCAGACCGCATCTCACGATTTCTAAATAAATATCGATTAACGGTCACTAGTCACCACACATATTTCATACTACAGCAAAATCATCACAATTAATATTGAACAGTAAGGACTTACAAAACTAATGTAAACACAAAAACTTACAAAACTAATATAATTTACAACTTCAAATTGATCTATAATAAAATCTGATTGTTAATTTATATAAGCACAAATCCACAGATGTTTGTGCATAAATTCACACATGTGCAGAGTTGAGCCTATCACTCCTTGTAGTCCACCAGCAATTCCAGTTTGTAATTTATTGTAAATTACCGGCAGGACTCGAGAATCACACCCACCGCGTTTCGGTTCGGCGAGCTGCAAACAAGTTATACATCATTTCATCTCTCAACGCAGTCAGTTCTTTAAAAAAAATCCACACTCTCACTGTACTATTACCTAATTTATTATAATAGCTGGAAGGGATATATACAAATTAAATGAACATACTTTAAAGTTTAAACTTATAAACTTATACTTTAAGTGTGCAAACTTTGTTTAAACCTCCAACAACTACAACTGGAGCAAATTATATTTAAAATATAAATTATACTGACATGCAATACTATCAAGTTTTACCCACTGATATAATAGATTCATTTCCATGCGTAATCATCTATTGTCACGCTGTTCATTTTGATCACAATACGGCAAAGGTTGTCTTAATTATTACTCAACTTGCTTCATTTTGAGCTTCGTGATGTTGTGATCATTCATTATCATGTGAATGTGTCATAATCTTCTTCTGCTTTGTTTCGCCTTTCATTTCGTATGTCCTTGGCAACATTTGTACGACGACCAACATTTCGACGTTTTCGTGGCATTTTAAACATCAACAAAATATAATTCCGAAAGCGATTCTACAACAGCGTAGTCAAAAAGTCAGAACATAAGATTGGTTAAATATAATTCATAGAATTATCTCAATTAATTCCAAAAATTGAAAAACTGAACATAACAGAACTTCGCAACCTCACAATTACTATAAATTCAGCATGTTAATAAATCCAATTGGCAAAACAACCGTACCACGCATCACGTTTAATTTAAACTGGCCAAGTTCGGTAAAACAATGTTTAATAATATTTTACATATTTATAATTCTTGTTATGCGATCAACCAGCCTTTAATACGATGTTGATTGGGATTCCGGTTGTGGTCATCAAACATACAATGTTTTTATATCAACGCCCAACCTTCGACAAGATTTATTGCCTTCTTCAGGGGATCTACAGAGACATAAGGACATAATCATTTAAATACATAGTTATAAATTACTGTAAATTACAATAATTGTACTTACAGATACAAAGTCATAACTTAAACACATTACACATTTCACGACATTTATATATACAAACTATATACATGTATAATAAATAAATAAATAAAAACCTCTTCGTAATAGCCTCTTACATATATATGCATTTTTTTAAACAGAAACAATTACTTAACAATTAGTATTCTTTAGGTACATAAATATCATGTATAATAACAGGCTGTGATAACATAGAATTACCAATGTACTAGAAATTAAGATCTTGTTTTAAAAATTGTGGAAAATGATTGATATCAGTAGGTGATAGTGCGAGGAACCTCCCATCTGATAACGTGATAAACTCAATTTTCTAGTCAAACGCCTGTGATATTTATGTACCTAAAGAATACTAATTGTTATATAATTGTTACTGTTTAAAAAAAATGCATATATATGTATGAGGCTATTAAAAAGAGGGTTTTATTTATTTATTTATTATATATGTATATAGTTTGTATATATACATATCGTGACATGTATAATGTGTTTAAGTTATGATTTTGTATCTGCAAGTACAATTATTGTAATTTACAGTAATTTATATCTATTTAAATGATTATGTCCCTATGTCTCTGTAGATCCCCTGAAGAAGGCAATAAAACTTGTCGAAAGCTTGGGCGTTGATATAAAAACATTGTATATTTGAAGACCACAATCCGAATCCCAATCAACATCGCATATTTATAATTGTTTCTGTATAGATACCTGTAAAAGGAAATCGGTTTCTGTATCTTTATGTTTGTACACTAAATAACATTCAATTGGACTACCTTTCTCAATTCTGATGGTTTGTCTTAGTTGAACAGTCGTCGGTCACACCACAAGCCGGTAGTTATTTTTCCTGACGACACCACTGCTGCCTATATTGAAGATACAACGGTGAGGTTTGTATCTTCCTATCTTTACATCAGCGAAACCAATTCTGCATTTTTCGTGACCATAATGTATTTGTAGTTTTGCAACTATAGCCGATTCAGTAATTTTTGCAACTAAAGGGTATTAGCGTAGTTTCTGCGTCTATTGACTGTTAGCCCTCCAAATCGGAATTTGGAATACACGGGAAACGTGCAGTTTAGTCCAAAATCCGACTGGACAGCTGAAAACTGAGAATACAGATGTGAAAATGGAAAACAGAAATTTCTGAAATCGCTCTCTCTTTTTTTTTTTTTAAATCCTAACCTTATTCATTATTTAGTATGAAAACTGTGCAATTCTCAATTCTTGAATTAAAAAATTAGTTATATATTGCGAAAAAGTATGTGTATATTTATTAAAGTATATTTTAAAAAATTTGTACTAATAAAGTTATCGTCCATGAGACCTTTACTGAAAAAAAGGATATTAA